CATAGTCGATGGAAGAGTCCTTGTTAAACACTTTAGTGTAGCGAAGGTCACTCGTCTTTCTACACAACACACACTATATACAGTATATTAAAACAAAGTATGTACGAAATACTATCAACAAGGTCCTCTCTCAGACATTTCTCCCCAGCATCGAGGATATCATCCTTCAACATCACCTCCGCTGGGTGGGTCAAGTGTCCAAAATGCGTCCAACTCGAATCCTACATATCCTGTTTGGAGAACTCTCCAGCGACAAAAGGTTACGTAGAGGCCCAAAACGACGCTTCAAGAATCAATTGAAGACATCCTTGACACAGGACACTATCGACCCTGAGACTTGGGAAACCATTGCTGCAAATCGCCCTTCCTGGCGTAGGACCATCCGGAGGGTGGGGCGGTGACCAAATGATAACAGGAAGAGGATCGGTGACGTGCGGTCAGGAGAACCCAGACGCCTCCACTACCCACACTCCTCTGTGACTCCTGCTCCTAACTACTGTTCATGAGTAGGCTGAAAACCGGCTTTCCTGTCGTAAGACCGTCCGAGCGGGTACTGAGACTTTCGAGTCCAACCGTCAAAATGAAGATGATCTGCGACGTGCTGTTAGGAGGGCACGACTCGCCCAGACGCTTTCAACCCCCACACTCCTCTGTGATTCCTGCTCACAACTCTTCAGGAGTATGCTGGGCCTTCACAGCCATATCCACCACCGTCACTAGAAGAGAGAATGAGAATAAAGAAAGAGGATGACGATCCCGATGATCAGATGCGAGCGAGTGCCGACTAACAAGACTCTATTTTAGACACACTATGAAGAAATTAAATTTTAATTTAAAATTCGTTCTCTCTCTCTCTCTCTCTCTCTCTCTCTCTCTCTCTCTCTCTCTTTCTTGATTTCATTCGCCTACGAAAATGTAGCCTTAAAAGGAAAACTGCGTTCCGATTCCCAGTTCGGACGGACGCTATGAAAACATATTCACATACGCACACATACACATACTTACGAAATGTTCCAAACTACATTACAAACATACGAAACTTTTCAAACTCCATTTGAAACTTCGAATATTCAACTACAAGCAATGGAAATTTAATTACAAACATTACGGAACATTCAACTCTTTTAAAGCTAAAAGTTTACTCAACATATTCTCGGGTTTATAATTCTTTCAACTAACAGTAAAAATTTTGTTAGGTCGGATAAAAATATTTCATTAGTAAAAAGGAAAACTTTAATTCAGTCAAGGGGACATAACACCAACAAAAATAGTAATCCCTATGCTTGTACATCATTATACATTATTATTGAAAGTCGAAAGGAAATCATCATATTGATACATGTTTAAATCCAATCTAAGCTTTCGGCTTACATAAGCCATTATCAAAGATGACAATTTCAATATATCAAACAATACACGGACGAAACAACAATGATAGTCCGCCCTTGCTGCGTGAAAATTTCAAAGCAACGACAAACTCATGTATACGAGACGTGGAAGCGAAAATCGCGTCGCAGCTCGTGACGTCACACATGACCATTGCAGAGTGAAAGCGAGAAATATTAAGTATGGGAGGCCGTTTGTATAAACCAATGGCTTCTGTTATCAATTATAGGCATTTAAGAATATTTGTGGAGATTTCATAGTTTATTTTGTTCAGGTTAGGTTACAACTGTTTTATGTATAAAGCTTCAAGAATTTTTAATTTTTGTTTATTGTTTTCATGTTTAAGTATAGTTGTGTTTTCAACAAGGATTTTCTGGAATTAAAGTACGCGGCCAGGCATGTTGTTTTAAATGCCTATATATATATATATATATATATATATATATATATATATATATATATATATATATATATATATAATCCGATACTTTCATTACTTCAAACGTTAGTGGAAGTGTGGTATTTGAAAGAGACGCCCCATTTTCTATTTATTAAAAAAAGTGTATATTACGTTTGTTGGCCTACGCACTCGAGAAATCTTAATGAAGAAAATGCGTTCTCCGGCAGGGATCGAACCTGCTTTTTCTCGAAAAAAAAAAGAATGACTGGGACGAATATTAAAGACCCGAGAGTACTCACATAAACGCATTTACAAAGACGGACTTATACGCAGAAGCGTATACTACAGATAAATAAATATAGTTACACTTTCACACACGCACACATACACGCATATATATATATATATATATATATATATATATATATATATATATACACCACCCACAGCAACATGTACATAAGTAAATACGTACACACGAAAAAAGCGCATACGTCTATTTGCTAATAAAATGACAAAGCGTTCGATATCCTGGTCACCATTTAAATATGACGGATGAGAAACAGCGACCCCTGGTGTATGGAAAGACGTCAATAAAGCAGATAAGGAAAATCCGACAAGTTTTACAATTTATCGCATCTCTCTTCCTCTTTCTTGCGCCTCTATAAGTTAATCGTACATTATAGTCCGAGATTTAGTCTTTTACATAGTACACAGGAAGCAATCTCAGCAGCTTTAGACCTGAAGATGTTGAAATCGCGATTACTATATGGAATTAGAAAATACTAAACACTTCAGATTACCTCGGCGTATGTGTCACTTATAAGAAACGAAATATGGAGGAAAAAGAAATTTAATATAGAATAGTCTGCACCAGAGATAGTTTTGTATGTAGGCGAATTTTAACTCTGGGTAGATAATTGTAAACCTCCTAACATTTATATTGTTATGGGGTCGTCCCCTTTTTCTTATAAGTGGACTCGACCAAAGTGTTACTTGGACTGCTGCCGTTAAATACCCAGAGTCAGTAGTCAGATAGTAAGAAGACTGAGATTGTGATTGAGTTGGAGGTAGAGTAATAGTGTGAGGTAACCGCTTGTAGAAGTCACAGTTACAAGCACGTAGACTCTAAGGAAGTCCTACTTCGAGACTGTATATAGTGTAACCCGGATATAAGAGAGATTTTCTCTGGTCCCAAATTAGAGCCTGTGTTAATGTATATAAAATAGACCAAACCTGGATATAAGAGAAACCCGGATATAAGAGACTTCTTCTCCGGTCCCGACAACTCACTTATATCCGGGTTACACTGTATATCTATCTGTTATTGCTAATAACCGTGTTCCTGGATTTACTAACAGTATTACCCATTGTATTATTGTGTAAATACATTTTATTTTTTATATTTAATAAATAAATTGTCATTTATAAATTTGTCATTCATTGGAGACCGAATTTCATCTCGGAATCCACAACATACATATACAAAAATAATTGTTGTAAATGAGAAACAAGGTGTGGAAACGACAAAAGAAACATTATTTATGATCTGGTTGTTATGTGGGTTTGAAACATGAGAGGCAATAATGCTGAGTGAAATTGTCTTTACTGTAGGCTTTTAATGTCTATAATGAGTGTCCAGATAATTTAATTATTGAAAAAAAAAAAGAAGTGTCTATAGTTTTCTTACCTCAAACTGTGGTTATGAGTGATAAAGAGGCAAATGGTACCTTTGTGGCCGGAAAAAGTAAAAGAGCCCAAATGTATATCAACGCCCGTGTTCACTGCTTGTCCGGTAGTGTGCTTGTGTATGTAAAAGAGAAGAGTGGTGTTGATGCTCATTGGTTTAAAAAGAATGAATCGTAATAATTAAATAAATTATTTTATTATAAATTATTTCTGGCCAATCCGCAAGCGTGCTTCTAGTGTCACCAGGATGTTTAATGGATGTCAATTATCAGTTATCATGTGTCCTTAAGGCGCTAGTTCGATCCAGTGACAAGACCCAAAGAGTGTGAGTTCAATACCCGGTTAAGGCAGTGGAGAACTTTCAGAGGGAAAATTAACAGGAGATAACTGATAACTGACATCCATTAAACATGGCACGTGGAACTAGAACAGTCTACCTCAGTGAACGAAATAAAGGGTTCAGTTCGACATTCCAATCACCTGAAGAAGGCCGGAGCGTACAACGGCCGAAACGTTGTAATAAATATGGCAACAAAGATGAGGACAATAGTCCGAATAATGTAAATAGTGTACATAATACCTCATCTCAGAAATATAGACAGATACGAAATTTTCTTTTCCTCTTTCATATTAGTTTGCTTAGCTTTTAGAAGACATCTTTCGCTATTCCAAATGCGCCTTTGGATTTCAATATCACATTTTCTGTCTTCTGTTAAAACACTTCTGAGATATTTAAACTGTTGTACGTGCTTGATTTTACTGTCTCCGGCAAGTAATTTGCATCTTGGGCTTTTCCTTTCGCTAAGATCTACACGTTTTATCTTCTTACAATTGATGGTTAGACCTTTCTTCTCGATTCCTTTTCCTACCTTCTGCAGAAATTCTTTTCTCTGTTTGCTATCAACATTGGGTCACTTCTATGTTGTTGATTTTGTTACTGCCGCTAATTAATCCTAGTACGACTTCTAATTCTCTCAGGGTCGCCTCATTTTAAAGTATTGCCGATCTTAAAAAGTGAACAAATAAAAATAAAGAAATAAAAACCGTGTTTGAAAAGACTCCTTCAAATTGTGCTATTTTGGATTCTATAGTGATATCAAGCTATCCGTAATTCATCCGATTCAAGTATTTTCATTTTAATTTTTAAACAAACCTAAGAACAATTAAAACTGCTTACAGGCAATCAATATTTTTTTGCTGTTTAAAGAGAGCTATTCATTTCTCCCTTGAAAAAATTACAACCAGAATTTATAAAAGAAATATGCTTTGTTCGATTAAAAAAAACGACTTTGAAAGGCATCAAATTTTATTATGGCAACTAAAGAGTCTGTCGAATCTCCGAAAGTTTTAATATCTTCAAGCCTTACCCAGCAATTTTTGTAATTGTTTTTCTCAGCAATAAAACAGTAAAATATTTTCCCTTCAGTGAACGCTGATAATGAGATGCATTTTACAGATATTTGATATTTTTTAAGCTATGGTATTAAGCAAAGCTATGAAGAGTGTGGCACGATGGGATACATCCATGCGGCCATCAAGTATTTATGATTTGTCCAAATCGATAAGCACGCAACTAACAATTACAGCTATATTTTCAGAAAGTCGATATCCCGTAAGACCAAAAAATTTACAGACATACAAAGCATAACACAAATTTACATACATATATACACAGGGTGTATCAAAAATAATTTTACAAATTTTGAGGACAGATTCCTCACACCAAAACAAGTAAAAAGTCCATAAAAACATATGTCCACAAATCCTTGGTTTTTGAATTTAAAGAAAGCTTAGGTTAGATGGCGCTGTGTTGCCGTGTGGGCTCGATCCGTAATTTTTGGTACCACGGATCTTGTCTCAGCAACGCGACGATAAACTGCAGCAAAGGTTGAATGACTCGGCTGCCTTCGGTCTGGAAATGCAATATGATAAAGCTGTGCAGCCTTGGCTATTATCATTCGCGCGGCTGTATGTAAAAATTATATCTGCCTGCTCATGATATGAATAGGCTGCCATAGTTAAACGGAACACTTCTCACTTAACTCACTACTATATACGTTAAACTTTGAAGACAGACTAGCCGCAAATGTACTCGAATGACAAAATGTAACCTAGTCTATATGGCAACACACCGCCATCTACCGTAAACTTTCTTTAAACTTAATAAGTCAAAAGGAAGGATTTGCGGATATATATGCTTATACACTCTGCATATATATATATATATATATATATATATATATATATATATATTGCACTGGGGCAGCGATCCCTTTTCTATAAAAATTTATTAAAAACGACAAGGTACTGCAATTAAGTCTTTTTATTTAATTTTTCTTCTTTTCTTATAATTTAAAAAATAAATATTTTCTTTTTTTTCTGGATATAAATCATGTAGAAATTGTTCGAATGTTTTTTGACCGAGCGCTTTCAGCTATACTTTAACCATTATCAAGGATGATTATATTTTTACTTTTAACAGAATGCATCGATTATTTTATGCATGTATCTAGAATTATAGGAATGTTTTATTTTCCAAACACGGTCAGCACATTGTGGCCGTGTTCATTGTCGATATTACTGAGTGTTGGCTTTTTCTTTTTATTAATAATGCGCCCAGTATTTTTCGTCTTTTTTATATATATATATATATATATATATATATATATATATATATATATATATAAAAGCATCAAACATTAAATTAGAGTTAAAATTTATTACTTTGAAATGGAGTTAATCAGACGTACAAATTCAAATTTCAGGTCTGATGAATTGATCGTGATTACGATTCCAATGTAATAAATTATAACCATGGAATGTTAGTGTTTGAGCTTTTATATTATATTCTTACTCTGTCCTGGATAATGAGTTCTACATGGATTCTATCCTCTTGGGAATTTATATATATATATATATATATATATATATATATATATATATATATATATATATATGATAGGATAAAGAACAAATAAAAACGTTTATAAATCTAACATGTTAAACTTTTATTAACTTCATCCATCAGAGAATGAGAGATATAAGGAAAGAAAGAAAGAAATTCTGGTATTTTTATTTTTGCTTGATATTCATTGGTTAAGCAGGTTTCACGTGCATTTGGCTTGTTAAACAGCATTAATATATATTATGGCATTCTGAACACAAAAAGCAGAATTTCTTATTTTCCCCATGTTAGATTTATAAACGTTTCCTATTTGTTCTTCAACATAACATTCTGTCGGATTCCGATCCTTGTTTGATCTGTATTTGATCCCGGTATATATATATATATATATATATATATATATAACAACGACATTCTAAACGTACACACATACGCAAAAGCGCGCACCTACGCACGAAGAGACACACGCACATGAAAGAGAATATAATTAGTCAATTGCTGATATCCCCTGACAGGTGGACGGAGTGAATGCTAAGCCCTTGCTTCTACAACTATAACATGTGCCACATAGAAAACTCGATATTTAAATAAGTCACCAAAATATATGTCCGCTATGTAGATATTTTTTCAGCGAAAAACAAACAAGAAATTAATAATCTCAAAAGCACATTCGAAAAAAAAAAACCCTAAAAAAACTCTGTCCTTAATTTTACCTATGAACTTAGTCAAAAAAATAAAAACTCCCATTCTGAGACGTTCTCATAGAATTCAGTAATAACACACTCATCAATTCATTATACAGAAAACCCAGTAACAGAGGGAATGGGACGTTTCGACGTGGCCTATTTGCTGTGGCCGATTCGGCGTAGCCGAGTCGACATAGGAATATTTAGGCAGAAGGACGATTAGACGTCAGATTACTACATCGTTATTATAGTCAAATTTGTTATCTCTCTTTCTCTCTCTCTCTCTCTCTCTCTTGTTTAGTAGTTAAATTAGTACTTCGTCGTTATATGCTCGAATAGTCCAATTTAAGAAAAAGAGTAGTTGGAGGCATTTTTATATTTAAGAAAAGCAGTAGTTGGATCTTTTTTTTTATATTTAAGAAAAGCAGTAGTTGGAGGCATTTTTATATTTAAGAAAAAAAAAGAATAGTTGGAGGCATTTTTATATTTAAGAAAAGCAGTAGTTGGAGGTTTTTTTTATATTTAAGAAAAGCAGTAGTTGGAGGCATTTTATATTTAACAAAAAGCAGTAGCTGGAGGCATTTTTATATTTAAGAAAAGCAGTAGTTGGAGGCATTTTTTATATTTAAAAAAAAAGAATAGTTGAGGCATTTTTTATATTTAAGAAAAGCAGTAGTTGGAGGCATTTTATATTTAAGAAAAAAGCAGTAGTTTGAGGCATTTTTATATTTAAGAAAAAAAGAATAGTTGAGGCATTTTATATTTAAGAAAAGCAGTAGTTGGAGGCATTTTTTGTATTTAAGAAAAGCAGTTGTTGGAGGCATTTTATATTTAAGAAAAGCAGTAGTTGGAGGCATTTTATATTTAAAGAAAAGCAGTAGTTGGAGGCATTTTTATATTTAAGAAAAGCAGTAGTTGGAGGCATTTTTATATTTAAGACGAAAAGCAGTAGTTGAGGCATTTTTTATATTTAAGAAAAAAAATAGTTGGAGGCATTTTTTATATTTAAGAAAAGCAGTAGTTGGGGCATTTTTATATTTAAGAAAAGCAGTAGTTGGAGGCATTTTTATATTTAAGAAAAGCAGTAGCTGGAGGCATTTTTATATTTAAGAAAAGCAGTAGTTGGAGGCATTTTTTATATTTAAGAAAAAGAATAGTTGGAGGCATTTTTATATTTAAGAAAAGCAGTAGTTGGAGGCATTTTTATATTTAAGAAAAGCAGTAGTTGGAGGCATTTTTATATTTAAGAAAAAGAATAGTTGGAGGCATTTTTATATTTAAGAAAAGCAGTAGTTGGAGGCATTTTTATATTTAAGAAAAGCAGTAGTTGGAGGCATTTTTTATATTTAAGAAAAAGAATAGTTGGAGGCATTTTTATATTTAAGAAAAGCAGTAGTTGGAGGCATTTTATATTTAAAAAAGCAGTAGTTGGGCATTTTTATATTTAAGAAAAGCAGTAGTTGGAGGCATTTTTATATTTAAGAAAAAGCAGTAGTTGGAGGCATTTTTATATTTCTAAAAAAAGAATAGTTGGAGGCATTTTTTATATTTAAGAAAAAGAATAGTTGGAGGCATTTTTTATATTTAAGAAAGAAAGTAGTTGGAGGCATTTTTATATTTAAGAAAAGCAGTAGTTGGAGGCATTTTTTATATTTAAGAAAAGCAGTAGTTGGGCATTTTTATATTTAATAAAAAAAGAATAGTTGGAGGCATTTTATATTTAAGAAAAGCAGTAGTTGGAGGCATTTTTATATTTAAGAAAAGCAGTTGTTGGAGCATTTTATATTTAAGAAAAAAAAGAATAGTTGGAGGCATTTTATATTTAAGAAAAGCAGTAGTTGGAGGCATTTTTTATATTTAAGAAAAGCAGTAGTTGGAGGCATTTTTATATTTAAGAAAAGCAGTAGTTGGAGGCATTTTTTATATTTAAGAAAAAGAATAGTTGGAGGCATTTTTATATTTAAGAAAAGCAGTAGTTGGAGGCATTTTTATATTTAAGAAAAGCAGTAGTTGGAGGCATTTTTATATTTAAGAAAAGCAGTAGTTGGAGGCATTTTTATATTTAAGAAAAGCAGTAGTTGGAGGCATTTTTATATTTAAGAAAAGCAGTTGTTGGAGGCATTTTTATATTTAAGAAAAAGAATAGTTGTAGGCATTTTTTATATTTAAGAAAAAGAATAGTTGGAGGCATTTTTTATATTTAAGAAAAGCAGTAGCTGGAGGCATTTTTATATTTAAGAAAAAGAATATTTGGAGGTATTATTATATTATATTTCCTTCAGTGCATCTTCAGATATTTTAGTCGTGAAAGCCCTTTTATTCCAAAATGGATGCAAATATTTTTATCAAAACGTGAAAGAAACAAAGTGATACACGATGGATACTTTTTTTATTTTATTTATTTTTGACGCAAACGCCAAGAGGGGGATCCTGAATAATAAATATTTTCAATTTAAGTTTTTAATTTATATTATTTCATTAGTGTTTTAATAGGATCTTTAATTCCCTAAATGCATAAAAAGTCATGTTGAATGTTGGGTGTTTTCAATGGTTTTATCCTTTGTAGAGTGGGGCTCAGCTCAAAGACAGTGACGTCAAGACAGTCTGAGGCTGTGCTGCATAATCCAATTATTTTTCTGACGCTAAATGGGCAACGCCAAATGGTTATTTCTCAAGGGCACATGGCCCAGTGGATAAAGATGTTGGTTAGATCCAGTGACTAGACCCAAAGAGTTGTGAGTTCAATACCAGGCCACATAGTGAGCCAAATCTTGGAGAGTTGAGTTAAAGGGAAGTAACTGAGACATCCGGAAGAGGCATGGCACGTGCAACTAGAACAATCTGCCTCGATGGACGAAATAATCGGGTTCGGTCCGAAATTCCAATCACCTGAAGAAGGCTGGAGCATACAACGGCCGAAACGTTGTGAATATGGCAATGAAAATGAGGATAACAGTCCGAATCATATAAATAAATCAAGTAATCATAATACCTCATCTCAGAGATATAGAGGCCGAAACGTTGTGAATATGACAATGAAGATAAGGATAACAGCCCGAATCATCTAAATAATGCAAGTAATCATAATACCTCATCTCAAAGATATAGAGGTCGAAAGGTTGTGAATATGGCAATGAAGATGAGGATATCAGGCCTGAATCATGTAAATAATGCAAGTGACCATAATACCTTATCTCAGAGATATAGAGGCCGAAACGTTGTGAATATGGCAATGAAAATGAAGATAACAGTCCGAATCATGTAAATAATGCAAGTAATCATAATACCTCATCTCAGAGATATAGACAAACATAAATTTAATGCTCATGATCATAGTCGACGATCGAGCTGCACTGGTGAATTTAAATCATCCTAAGTCAGTGTTTAAGGGATTACTAGAAAATTTGGTTAGTATTTACAGAATCTTAAGGTAATATTCAATCTGACAGTCGAGACAAACGACCCTCAACAAAATCGTTCCCGTCATTAACATTAACGACGCTTGCCGGGGTGTATGCCATTCAGGACCGTATTTAAATTCAAATGCCGCGAATTATAACCGGTCGTTAGTCTCCGTCTAACTTTACGAAGGTGTTCATTTGATCACAAGCAGAGCGTCACATTCTTGGCAGTAAAACAAAGTACGTCGTAAAAACGTGGCAACTATCATATGCAGTCGGTTGTTTTCTATTTCCCTGTCTTCATAATTGCTGAACACTTGAGACGTCAGATCGATACGCCTTCCGGTTAAATATTCAGGTTGAATATTTGCCCCAATGAATTAAATTGTCCACTAAGGCAAAATTGTTTCTGGTCATAAATATATTCAGGAGCGCGGATGCCCCAACGAATAAATAGTTGTTTACCGAACAGTTTGTTCATAGGTTTAGACATGTCTGCTTAAACAATATGTAAGCATGAAGAAAGAGTTGAGTGACTGTGTATGTTAAGACGGGGACGGGGGGGAATTTGAGCGCAAAAGTGTTAAGCTTTTATTTTTATTTTTATGCTTATTTTCAACATCATGAACATATTTTCCCTCTTGTAATTAACATAAATAGTTACAGGAGCCCTAAAATGTTGTTATAGGGATTTAAAACGTTATATTTCTTTCTTTTTCTTTCTTTCTTTTCCTTCTTTTTCTTTCTTTCTTTCTTTCTTTTTTATCGCTTTTCCCTTTCTTTCTTTCTTTCTTTCTTTCTTTCTTTCTTTTTTAATTTTCTTTCTTTTTCCTTTTCTTCTTTCTTATTTTTTCTTACTTTTTCAATCTTTCTTTTTTCTATTTTTCTTTCTTTCTTTTTTCTTTTACTTCCTATCTTTTTATTTTCCTTCTTTCTTTCTTTCTTTCTTTCTTTCTTTCTTTCTTTCTTTCTTTCTTATCCTCATTTTTATTTCTTTCTTTGTCTTTCTTTCTCTCTTTCAATATTTATCTCCCTCCTTTTTTTCTCTCTCGTTCTTTATTTTTCCAATTTTTTTACCAAAATATTTTCTCCTCCTTGCAATTATTTTCCTTTCTTTTCTTCCCTTCATTTTCGTTCGCACCAGTTTTTAATCTTTACTTGTTTTCTTTCTCGTTCACGATCTTTCTTTCTTTCTCTGACTTTTCTTTCTTTCTTTGGCTCTTTCTTTCTGATAATCGCTCTTTCTTTCTTTCTTTTTTATTCTTTATTTATTTGTTTGTTCATTTATTTACGCCTCTCGCTCTTTCTTTATTTGTTTCTTCCTCTCCTTCTTTTTTTCTTCCTTTCTTTCTTTCTTTTTGTTCTTTCTTTTCTTATTCTTTCATTATTTTTCTTTCATTATTTTTTTCTGCCTCTCCTTCTTTCTTTCTTTCTTTCTTTTGCACATTCTATTCATATTTAGCAAATGCGTCAGTTCATTTTCCTTCACCCCATTCTTAAATATTTTCCTTTTATCTTTTTCTTTCTCGTTTCTTCTTTTTTTCCCCTGATTTTTTTCAATTTTTTTCTCTTTCTTCCGACATTTCGCTTTTTGTTTCTATTTTCCTTGTTTGTTTGTTTCTTTCTTTCTTTCTTTCTTTCTTTATTTATTTATTTTATTTTTCCCTCAGGTTCTTTCTTTCTTTCTTTCTTTCTTTCTTTCTTTATTTATTTATTTATGCCTCGTGTTCTTTCTTTCTTTCTTTCTTTCTTTCTTACATTGTTTATTTATTTCCTTATTTATTTATTTATTGATGCTTCATGTTCTTTCTTTCTTTCTTTCTATTTTTTCTTTCTTTCTTTCTTTTTTTCTGTCTTTCTTTCTTTCTTTATTTCTTTATTTATTTATGCCTCGTGTTCTTTCTTTCTTTCTTTCTTTCTTTACTTATTTATTTCTGCCTCATGTTCTTTCTTCCTTTCTTTCTTTCTTTCTTTCTTTCTATCTATCTTTCTTCCTTCCTTTCTTTCTTTCATTGTTTATTTCATTATTTATTTATTTATGCCTCATGTTCTTTCTTTCTTTCTTTCTTTCTTTCTTTCTTTCTTTCTTTCTTTCTTTCTTTCTTTCTTGTCTGCTAGCTTGTCCATATTTATAAAATAAGTCACCTCCCAAAATCAATTCTCCACGTAGTTTGTTTCCCTTTCGTTATTCAATGAAGCTTTTCTTCATGAACATAAAAGAATTTCTTTCTCAAAACATTAACTCCAATGGCGGCTGGTGCTGAAAATTTATTTACTCAGCAGAAAAAAAAAACGAACAAGTGTAAATAAATCTGGCCAAAACCGATGCATATTAACCGATAATATTACGTCTCTCTCCTAAGCAGAGAAGGAAGAACGAGAACAATCGCCCTTCATTGATTGGAATGAAGAATCTTGTTCAAAATTCTTAGAATGTTACCGAATACAAAATACCTGAAAAAGGCCGATGAATACAACGGCCGAAACATTGAGAGGATAACAATCAAGATGAGGACAACAGTTAGGGTAGGAAAGGACATATAAATTTTCGCGCAGTGAATATTTTTTTTTACTCGAATGGCTAAAATTTAAAACTGTACGCATCGATCAAATCTAAGACTATTTCTTTGTTTCATTTTTAATAAAGAAAGATTTCTGAAATGAAGTATTGTAACATATGTACACTATTTACATTGTTCGGACTGTTGTCCTCGTCTTTATTGCCATATTCACGACGTTTCGACCGTTGTACGCTCCGGCCATCTTCAGGATCTGTCTATATTTCTGAGATGAAATATTGTGACCTATGTATATTATTTACATCGTTCGGACTGTTGTGCTCATCTTTATTGCCATATTCACGACGTTTCGGCCGTTGCACGCTCTAGCTTTCTTCAGGATCTGTTTATATTTCTGAGATGAAATATTGTAACATATGTACACTCTTCATCTTTATTGTCACATTTACGACGTTTCAACCGTTGTACGCTCCGGCCTTCTTCAGTATCTCTCTATATTTCTGAGGTATGGTATTGTAAATATTTGCCCTATTTAGAACCTTTGGACTGTTGTCCTGATCTTTATTGTTATATTCACGACATTTCGGTCGTTGTTTGGGTCAAGTCACTTTGTGTATAAAGTTGATTTCTTCTATTGATAATAGAAGAAATGCCAGGAATGGTGAAATGTTGTAGGAGCCACGACGCAGATTTACTGTAAATGAGATTGCTCTAGATATTTACGTCATAGTGAATTGATTTTCTCTTTTGATCAGAGTAACATTTTTTATGTCAAAATTGTGATCAGTCTCGTTATGGTGGGCAACCAACGAATTTGACGTATTGTTTTGTAAAATGTCCCTTATGTGTTCATATAATCTTTGATTGAGATTTCTTGAGGCTTCTCCTATGTATTTTTTGTGACAATTATTACAGGTGATAGAGTAAATTTTTCCTTCACGTTTATTATTTTGTTTAGTATTGATTATGTCTTTTATTGTTTTGGATGTAGTAGTAACAAATTCTATGTTGAGTTTAGATAGATTCTTTACGATTGTAGATATGATAGAGTTAGTTGGTGGGATAATTTAGTCTGATGTTGTCCTGAAGGTCGAAAAGCAACACAGGTAAACTTTTTCCATTTTTTCATACATTTTCCCCCAATTTACTTGATATGTAAAAATATATATAGTTATTTCATACGTAATTAATTATTATTAATCTGACTGTTCTTTTATATATATATATATATATATATATATATATATATATATATATATATATATATATATATAGATATACAATTTCACTTCGTTTGGTGTATATATATATACACATACATACATATATATATATATATATATATATACAGGAAATATATATATATATATATATAAATTAATTAAAACATTTTATGTTTATACATTCTTTTATACATAGAAATATTTAAGTAAATGCTCATTGTTTTTATAATAAACAGTATTACCCAACATTACCGGTCTTAATATCGAGAAAATTTTACAGAAGATATTCGTCCTCCGACAAATTCGAACCTGTATCCTATACGGAACCGTCATTTAGCTTGACGTGCCTTTAACCGATTTGGTTCCGTATTTAAACAGAATTGGACATATAAGGACGAATATTTTTCTGAAAATTTTCGGACATTCAGGCTACATTCCTAAATGAGCATATTAATAAATAAATTTATTATAAATGTTGAATTTAAAAAATACTTGTATCTATAAAAACCAAAAAAAAATAAACATAACAATGTTTTAAAATAATTTTCTAACTTTGTCCATTTCCATTTGAATATATATATGTACAAAATTTTTTTTTAAATTTCCTTAAAAATCATTTTCATCACCTGTTACTTACCATCGCCTGAAGAATTACAATCATAGTATCAAACAATGAAAGCTTTTGTGTAGCGATTTCAAAATGTTTTTATTATAATAATAATATATATATATATATATATATATATATATATATATATATATATATATATATATATATTTTTCTCAATATCAGTGCATGCTAGTTCGAATGGAAAGACATAAATAATTTCTTATCTAAAAGATTCCGATATAAAGGCTGTAGACACGTTTGTCCGTAGTAAGAGTCAATGTATCTATGCGGAAAGTTTTGCATCATGTTACTAGTCTTCAGATTCTAATCTTATTGATGTATTAATGAGCATGAAACAAGACATTTACTGGATGTCTAAGATTTATTGGACAATTTCTAATGTTTCATGTAAGACGCGCTGTCGATTCGGTATTGATAAATGTCAAGGTTTCTCCTTTTTCATACTTCGTTTGCTCATTCAGGTATATGGAAGCAGTGAATGAAATTATTGGATCACTTCAAAACGATGTGGATTTCATTCGGGGATATTACTCACTCATTTTATATGCCCGGGCTATTTTTATATCCTCAACCGATTTTGCTTTATTTTGGATCTGTGGCTTGAGGGCACTAAGCAATTTCATCCATTGTTATCTTGACTCAATCTCCTTCTTCTAAGTGCCGTGTCGCTTCAGGATATGGCTCTCCACTGTTTCTTATCTTTTGTTGCGCCTAATAATGCTTGTCTTTTTAGCATACCGCCTTCAAACCAATTTTCTTTTTTTTTCTTTCTTTCTTTTTGTTTTTTCTTTTATTTATTTTCCTCTTTTTTCTTTCCTTTCTTTTTCTTATTTTCCTTTCTTTCTTTCTTTCTTTCTTTTCCAATCTTTCTTTCTTTTTCGCTTTTTCTTTTTTTTACTTTGTTTCTTCCCCTCGTTTTCTTTTCTCTTTCTTTCCTTCTTTTTTTCTCTCCTTATCCCACTCTTACTCTATTTCTTTTTCTCTTTTTTCTTCTCTTTGTTTCGCTTCTCTTTTCTCTTTATTTTTAGCTTATTTTTTCGCTTTCTCTTTATTTCCCGCCTTTTCTTTCTTTTTTTCTTTTTTCTTTCTTTCTTTCTTTCTTTCAAAAATTTTCTTTTTGCCTTTATTGCCCTCTTTTTCTTTCTCTTTTTCTTTCTTTCTTCTTTTACTTTTTTCTTTTTCCTTTCCTCTTCATTCTTTCCTTCCAATTTTACTTTCCTTTTCTTTTTCTCTTGTTTTTATTTAATTATTTATGTCCCCATTTTATTTCTTTCGCTCATTTTTCTTTTTCTTTACTTCTCTTTATTTCTCTCTCTTTCTCTCTCATTAATTCCTACATTTACTTTCCTCTTCTCACTCTTCTTTCTTTCTTTCTTTCTTTCTTTCTTTCTTTCTTTCTTTCTTTCTTCTTATTGCTTTACTCTTTTTTGATTTTATATTCCTGTTATATACTCCTCCCTTTTCTTTTTCCTTTCTTTCTTTCCTTCTTTCTCTTACGTTCTTCCTCACGCTTATTCAGTCTTTTTATTCAACCAAAATAAAGCTTACAATCCTCTTTTTTATTCATTTCGTTCTTCCTTACTGAACAATCAACCAACCCCTCGTAATGTTCTATTTTGGTGTGTGGAGGGTGTCTTCTTCCCGCCTTGTGGGCGAAGCCATATTAAAAGTAGCTAACTAAAAATAAAAAGAAAAAAAGATAAGAAAAGTGATGACTGTTCCCACATTTGCTTTTATTGATTGAACACGAACGAAAAAACATGACGTTGAGCCACAATTGCATAAAACTGCTGCACATGTTACTTTTACATGCAACAAGAATATTCGAGGTGTAAATCTTCGGAAGTAATTCTTGAACTGATCCAGTCTTTCCTATCAAATCATGAAATGAAAGTTATCCTGAACTGCCACTCGTTTACATCTTTTTGTACTAATGTCACCTAGGGCTTCATCATTTGTCCTATTTTATTTTTAACTTCCCCAATGATATCAGCTCTCAACTTGGTATCTACGCTGATGACACAATCATTTACACCTGCCTCGATTGTAAGGCTTATCAGTCTGACAAGGTCAAAATGGCAGCCGATGTTCAAAACGACCACCAGTCTGTTGTTAACTGGAGCAAAGGATGGCTTGTCAATTTTAACGCCTTCAAAACTAAACTTCTCTCCGTCTGAGAGACTCCTCTCTTCCTTCCATCAGCATAGCTGATGCTAACCAGGAGAGTGACTCGTTGCACCTTTTTGGACTAACGTTCTCGGCCGATAAAGTGGAAAGACTATATTGAATCCATTGCTAGATCAGCTGCTAAGAAAGTTGGCTCACTATATTACGCTAGACAACTTTTCTCTCCAAAATCTATCTCACATATCTATAAGTCTACCATTTGCCCATGATTAGAATATTACTACCACATATGGGCCGATGCTCTTGCTAGTTATCTAGAGCTCCTTGATAAGAAGCAATATTATTGGTCCTGATCTGGCATCTCGCCTTTTATCACTTTCTCACCGACATGAGATTGCCTCCCTGTGCCCTTTTCTATAAATCTTTTCATGGTAATTGCTCGGATGAGCTATTCGTTATGGTACCTAGACGTTTTTAATTTAAGCGCAGTCTTAGACTGACATGTCATTAATTTAGAGTTGAGCTGGTTAGATATAACCGTAAATGTTATGCTAACAGTTTCATTTCTCACACTTCTCGCTTGTGGAACTCCATACCGGCTCCATGCTTTCCAGCCAACTTTGATCTTCAAAAATTTGAATGCAATATCAATCGCTATCTGGGGTCCTCCTGATTACTCTTCTATTGTTCTTGCTCCTTATTAATGTTTCTGTTTCTAATTCTTCCACACCAAGTAACCCCTTGTGTTTTAGTGGCTTTACTACCTTTCATGGGGTGAACTCGATTAAAAAAAATAGATACCAATGTTTTACTTGTATTTGATATTTAATAAAGATATATTCAGTTCACTACGAAAAAAAGGTACACCCTTGGGCAAATTAATTGAAACAACCGCTTTAGTTTCCTTTCTTTCACCATACGGCCAGTTTTAGACCCACTGGTGTGACAGGGTGTAATCGATTTCTATTTTTTTCTCTGATTATGTCATTTGCAGTGGTGTTCAATAATATGAATCTATTTTTGGGGTGTATGATAAAATTTGTTTAGCCTTGAAAAATATTGCATTCACCCGTGATTGCATCAGATTTTTATCACACCCAGACACTATTGTCTCGACTGTCGATTAGTTGTCCTACGGCTTTTGTTCCAAGGAAGCGTAGGAAAATTGCAACGATGCACGAACACACCACACCAGCAAGTCTTACCAGTGAGCAAATCAAAGTACTATAGACTAGCCTGGAAACTCTCCTGATTTAAATTCAATCGAGAATCTGTGGTCAATCTGCAAGGAATGATTTCGTGGAATGGACATACTAAGTACAAGCAAAGACTGTCCAAACACATTCCGGTACTTCATGTTCCCAGGAGTTCATGGAAAGTCAAATTTCGAAGGAGTGTTGATGGATTATTGTTTAAACCCCGTGATGAAGCAACAGAAATATGATTCTACAGAAGGATGCCGAGAATACGATACGAGCAACGACGAAGTTTTAGGGAAGATTGAAACAAAAAGGAAACTTATACCTAACATCAATAAGACACATTTGAAATTTCCAGGGTACATAATGAGGAAAGACGGCTTGCAAATTCTGATACTCACAGGTAATATCGAGGACAAGAGGTACAGAAAAAAAAGCAGTTGAAATTTCTAGGACACATTTCAATATGCATCTGGATTTCGGAGTCAGATTTTCAGTTCTCTGTTAAAATTCTTGCTAGATATTTAAATTTTTGTACTTACTTGATTTGGATGTCACCAATTCATAGTTCGGGTCTTGGGTGGTAACTTTCCTATCCGATGCACTTAGTGCAAGGGTGATAACTCTATTCTAGTGCAATTAAAGGCATTAGACAGGGCGGGGTTAAACATTGAGCAAAATAAGCACGTGCTTAGGACATCAAGAGTATAGGGATATTATTATTGTTACATATAAATAAAATAATAATATTAATAATGAAAATGATAAATAAAATAAAATAAAACAATAGTATTTAAACCTTGTTTAAAATAAATTAAATTAAAAATATAATAAAAGATAATAAAATTACTCCCAACATTCAACAAAAACTGTTCCTTCCGGAAATACGGACATCCCGCCAAAAGACATGAGATTAAATCACTTTACCCAAGAATCATTGCGATGACTACGCCTGTGTAACTTCCCTCCGTGACAGGACTTGTGATATTACGAAGTAACTTCTTCCTTTTAAAACATGAACGTTCTTAGAATTGAAACGTAAAATACACACACGCACAAATACATAAATAAAACTGTATGAAATTATCATACAATTTGCCATGCCTTGTCTCTATTGTGTTTTCCTGTTTTTATATTGGTAAAACAAGCCACCACCACTGCCCGTATGGTGTGAGTGAATATACCACAAAATTATTTAAAGGAGCAACACAGAAATTGTTAAATGACGTTGTTGTACACGTCTAACACGATTAATATATGAATCTGTCGGGTGCTATTACCAACGGAGAGACGACAGACGCGCGTCGAATCTTTATCGCGATTTTGATTGGTTAATAAGAGAATGGGATAAGGGAGATAATGACGTTTGTATTTACTCAATACATCGCATCTTCCCTCTTGAATACGTTAGTATTACTAATTAACTTTATAGGATTCAACTGTTATGAATAATCACAAGACTACCTTAATGTTCGTTTGGCATTATTCAAACCGTACGCTTATGCGCGCTGGTCTGTTGATTACACGACCATTTCTCGTCACAATTCTGTTAGAATTTAGTCGTGGCTCATTTGCAAATGGCTGCTCAGCTTCGGTTGGTTCTCTCCGGCTGGATTTCCAGGACATTAGTGTCGTTGTGGATTGGAACTGATAACCAGACTCTCTCGACGGTCATATTTACCTTCAGTTCTTTTTATATTTATTTAAAAAGCTGGCGTAAATACGATCTACCTTCTCGGGAATGATTTTTCAATTCACCGAGACTAATTTTTTATTTTTAATTTCAGATAAATGGGGGCACCAAAAGTCTCCTATGTGTATTCATCCGCCGACATCACAATATTCATTGTCCACGTCACTACACATCAGTTCTATGAAATTCAACCATTTGACTATCTATCATGCCGATGACTCAAGAAAGTCCAAAATTTGGACTATATTTCTTCCGAAACGAACTTTTGACAATTTCTGATGGAATTCCCTCTTTATCTGAGAAGGATTAAAGAATGGATAATTTGGAAAAGTCGATATAAATAATAATTTTATACAAAATGTCTGTTGTTTGAATAAACTTCACTTTAAAAGAATATTTTACCTAAAAGACAAAATATATATATATATATATATATATATATATATATATATATATATATATATATATATATATTATTTATATATATATATATATATATATATATATATATATATATATAAAATTACAATTATGAAATGGACAAAGTCCGAAAATTATTTAAAAAACATTTTATAAAAAGAATCAATAAAAATAAAAAAACTTTAATAAATATATATATATATATATATATATATATAACCAAGTTCAAATTTTAATAGTGCATTACTAGAGGCGACAGGCTGTTTCATGCTAGACGCAAAACATTAGATTTAGCATGAAACAGACTATCAAGTTATATTCTTATATATATTGACTTATTTATTCACTTTTATATTTACACACGCTCTTTATCTTTGATATTGACCACTTTATCCCATAAATATAGCACAAATTTAAAAAATATTTTTTTTTATATATATATATATATATATATATATATATATATATATATATTTATACTCCCATCTTATAAAAAATTATAGTTAACGGGAGAGTCCATCATAAAAAAATTGGGAATTATAATTTCAATCATATATATATATATATATATATATATATATATATTATAAATTAATTGATTTAAAATATGGTTATTTTCGCTACACAGTTCCAACCATGTTTCAAAAAAATAGAAGCTAAAAAACCCTAATTTTATTTTTGCAAATAAATTAAAAGCATTAGTTCCATTTCATCTTCAAGCGAATTTTGGAGTAACTTTTAAAATTTACCGGGTTTTAAATACACAGCTAAAATCACGTTTCCATGGTTACAGAATATTCTACTCAAATTGAACAAGGGGTGTCTAGATTTTCCTTATGACAGTATCATTGTATCAGTTATTAGCTACATTTTGGTAAGGGGTGAGGATGTATTTTACACTGAAACCTGACGTCGGTTGAATGGATGTCGTCTGAATTTTTAAAAAAAAAAAAAAAAAAAAATTGTTAACGGTAAAAAAATTTTCAACGTCA